TTTAGTTTTCAACTTTCTTAAAATTTGATTTTCTTTCCTAGTGCATTATATTAAAGTTTTTAGATACATAAATAATAATATACTTAACCCACAGAATGAATTTGATCTTGGAAAACCGTTAGCTTCCTAAGCAACCTGTATGTAGAATAAGTCTTTTCAGTGCCTGAGAGCCAGAAGCATGCCATCAGTACATCTGTCTATCTTTTGCCCACAAGGATAATAGCTCTGGAGCTCTTCTGTTTCTTTACTTTTTTTTTCTTTTTTTTCTTTTTTTTTTTTCCTCTTTTAAGATTTCACCAAACGTGTTGCACGTGGGATTTTCTGATAGCCGCAGTTGCCAGTATTTTGCGGGGCGCCTTCTCCTGTCATATGGCAGGTGTACATTCAAACCATGTCGGAGGAGAGCTTCCCAGGAGACAGAGCAGCAGAGGATGGCTATTGCTGCCTAGAAAATAAACTGAGAATGTGTGGCCAGATGGTATTCATGGTGGAAGTGTGTACCCAGCTAGAAAGCTCTGAATTTGTAAAGAACGTATGGGTTTGGTAGTACTTTTCTTTAAGGAGTAAAGCTGTAGAAAGCAATTTCATTAAGTATATGATGTCCTTGGTCTTTCATTATATTTCATGTCAATAGTGTAATGAATGGAAAAAGTTTGTTTTTAAATTATTCTGTCTAAAGCACATCCTGAGCATGTAATAAGAAAGCTAAACACATGAAGGACTCCCTAGATTTGCTTAAGAACTGAATGTGCTGCCATCTGGTAGTTGTACTCTGTCCTCTTGGCAGCGTTTGATTGACTTCAGTTTTCTCATGCAGCACTGTCTGTCTTTTGGCTTAAATTTTATATTCATTTTATGTTGTATTTATGCTTTTAATGAAAAAAAATGAAGCTGTTGTGACAAACTAATACTTTTATGTGAATAAAAGGAGGAGAGTAGCTCTTTAAAGACTTAAAACCCCCCTCTTTTTTGTATTAGTTGGTCTCAAGGTTGTTTCAGAATCATTGTCCATGAGACGTGAAGTAGAGTGAGTCTTGGCACAACTTGTAATTTTTTTGGTTTTGTTTATAAAAAGGTATACTAAAAATACGTAACTTCAAAAATAAATGAAATGTTCATGACAAAAAGATGAAACCATATATTGTCTGTGTAGCAGTTAACAATTATTCCAGGGCAAAGACCTATTAATTTTGGACTTAGAGGGTAGTGGGAAACTTTCCAGTGTGCGTCAGAAGGGACTGAGAGATGGGGGTGTTCCACAGCCAGTGTCTGCAGCACTGGAGTCAGGGGAGTTGGTTGCTCTGTGGTGTTGGTTTGGTTAGGAGGGAAATAAGGAAATGCTGTGTTGGGATGGCTCCACAGAGTAAGAATCAGTGTCTGAAGATTGGTTAGCTTGTTTGTGCTTTGTGGAGGGGTGGGAAGCAAAATCAAGTACTGCATCTAGCATTTTTCCCTCCTGCGGCCACCAGGTTTCTCCTTTAAGCTGGAAAGATCTATGGTGACTAACTGGTTTCCTACCTGTGAGGAGCTCTGCTCCTACTAGGCCCTCACCAACTTCACTTTTCTCTAGGAAAGCAAATCAAATCAGTATATTCTCAGGGACAGTAAAATCTCTGTTTATGGTGCAGAAGATACGGATAGCCGCACCGTTCTTAATCTACCTTTCCTTAGCATACAGTTTCATCAAAGAGGGGCTTCCGTGAAGCTGAGTGGAAGATTAATTCAGGAAAACTTTTCCTGTTTTTGTGCTCCCAGGCACAATTTCCCCCAGATGTGGGTTCATTCAACTTGTAAAGCTGACGGACTAATTGAATTCAATTAAGCTTTCCAGTGTCGTTCTTTTTTGTTTGCTTTTTATTTTTATGTTTTTAAAATCTAAACCTAATCCACTGTACAATCTGGACTTAATGTAAAATATGATGTTGGGATATAAAAATGTAACAAACTGTACAAATAAGTTCTGTGGTTGCATTTAAAAATATTAAATCTGCTTTGATCTTTCTTTTTATTTACTAGAGTTTGTTCTTATGGCTAAGAACAAGGGAGAGATAATTGTAAGAATTCACTTGGGAGTTTATCTGAAGTTGTCTTGACATGGCAATGTTATCCTTTCATATTACTTATTAGATAACGTATTTTAAGCACTATCATCTTAGATCTGTCTTATTTTTGTTCTACATAAGGCAGCCATTGATGAAAGTAGTCAGTGTAAAACAGCATCTGTATTTGCTCCATCATACAAAATACGCAAATAAACAGGATGCAAGTAAAGGCTTTTTAAGAAAGGTTTTGTTATATGTGGTTTGAGTGTTTCTGTAAATGGAAATGTACAGATGCTAGTGTATAGTGGTTTGTTGGGGTTTTCTGTTTTGGGTTTTTTGGTTTTTGTTTTTTTTTTTTTTTTTTAAATGGGAAATGTGTTTTTCCTTTTGTAGGAAATGAGGTTTTGTATAGGAAATGTGGTTTTGACAGCTATTTAAACATAGCTACTTGATAATGTATTGATAGATATTGATGATCTGCTTATCACCTTTTATATATTTTCCTTTCCTTGCTCAAAAACTTACCTGGATATTATGCTTAACTAACTCTTTAAAATAACAAGATTGATAAATTTCATGTGGATTCAATGAAGCCCCAAATTTTGCTCCTGCAATTACGTAAGGGTCTGTTAGGCATTTAACTTTGGGTTGTGGGATAAACCAAGCCTACGCAAAGGTTAGTTTGTAACTTGGGTCAGAAAACTAATTTACACAAATCAGGTCTGTTGTAGTTATAATGGAAAAAAATTATTATAAGATTCATGATAATCATTATAGTGCTAATATTTCTTCTGTTTCAGTAACAAACTTCCTCTCTTATGCCTCTTGGCAGCATTATTTGGCCTCTGTGCTTTTTATTGTATTGCTATAATAATTATTCTGACTGATCGCGATCTCCCTTATAAATGATGCCTGCCTTACAGTGGAGCCCTGGTTTGCTTTGATTGTAGAATGTCACTAAACAATTGGTGGCAGTCTTCCACTGGGGAAATTTGCTACTGTACCTGTCCAACAATGCTGCTTTTATGCTGTCATCCTATCCCACTTTTCATTTAGAAATTTTCACAGACCTGGAAAAATGTCTTGGGTCTGTCAGTCATAAAATAAAAAATACCCTATTTCCACTTGGTTTTCTTCCTTTTTCTTTTTTACCCATTTAAACTTATGAAATAACATCTCCAAAAATTGTCAGTTACATTTTGAGGGAAACTGTAACAGATTTGAAAGGAGTTTCTTCTTGTTGAAGTGGTAAATCAGGGTCATAACCAAAATTGTTCTGAAAGTAGGAAGATGTTCATATATCAAGCAGGAAGGCCAGAGATCAAAGTTTTAGCAGTAAAATGAAAACTTTTAAGTGTTTTAAATTAAATCTCATTCTGTAATTTAACTAAAAACAAGACCACCTAAGAGCAGACACCAGGATACCCTTATCAAGAAAGGACTTAAAAGAAGCTGCCTCAGATACAAAATCTCTTACGATGCAATGAATTGTGGTTACAGTGTCAAATCACTTTCTGCCCAATTAGTGCAAGTTACTATTACTGAACTTTTACATCTATACTTTTTGTCACAACTCATTGCCTTATGGCAAGTTATACATTTTGCAGCACTTAAAATCTTGTAAATGGGCTAACGTACTTCCAAAAACTTAAATATGTCATTTCTGTAATTTCTAAATGCCAGCAACTTTTACATTGTGAGCTTTATATCGTAGTAGGAATCATTTCTAGATCCTAATTTAATAATTAAGCGTTATGTTGTCTGAGCATTAATGAATTACTTGATGAAATGTGTTAACTCATGAGGAGAATGGAGGCCAGCGCTCCTGCTTCAGTGGGAGGGATGGCTGGAGCGTAGCTTGAGCTGCTGAGTCCCTGCTAGTGCCGCTTTCTGCCTCAAGCTCTGAAAGTAGAAAACTACTAGTAAAGTTTGTAGAAACATGCTTCTGACTCCTCCTGTTGTTGTGTTTAAGCACGGCTTTAGCCCCTTGGCCCTGTGTGAAAGCAATCGAGGTAACTGTAAATGGCTCTTCCTGCAGCTCAGAATCAACAGAGAGGATGAAAACGTAAGCAGTTTTCACAGTATAAAAATGTGTGCAAAGGGGGGAAATAAAAAAAAAGTCATTACTTTTAACAGCAAGTCAAAGTATCTTTTAATAAGTGAATGCTTTTTCCCATCAGAAATAAAATGAACCTTGGAATATAAAGGATTTTTAACAGATGTTTAGCGTCACTGAGTTACAATGGAGTTATAAGCTGAAGCTTTGTGTACACAAACACATGCACCCACTTTCTGGCTTTTACTTTCTGGCTGAAATATTACAGAGCCATCTCAAAGGCCTGCTTTTAAAACTTCTCCGTGGAAAAGACACCTGTTGACAGAAACACAATTGTTCGTTGGATCCATTTATTTGACAGTTGGCAACAAATATCTTGGAGGAAGTCTTTGGTTTCTTTAGGTGAACGAGTAAGTATTTTATGCAGAGAAATGTCTTCTTTGCATCCTGATCATCACAGTTGCCTTATGCTCTGAAGTGTTAGTTTATCTCTCTCAAATAGTTTATTCTGTCTGAGATTTCTGTAAGGTATGTTTCTGTATGCAGTACTAAACTTTTTTGAATCTCTGTAAGAAATAGACTTATAAACCATGGAATGCAACAGTAATTTTTCTTTTGCCTTCACGCTGGATATTCCTTTCTTCTACTCTCAGTGCACTGGGTCATGCAGTTTACCTTTTCTACACATCTGTCACGGTCCTTCTCTTCATGCGTTAAACATTAACGCAAACAAAATAAAAAAAGAATCCCAGTTGTTTGCAGCTTTTCAAGTTGCTTTGTAGTTTGTCTTCAGACTTCAGTGATGGAACAGCTTAATTGTTCAATACGTACAAGCTTGCTTTGTGTCCTGCATAATTCTGCCTCTCTTCTCACTCGATGATACCCTCTTGACTTTTCCACAGACTCACATTTCAAGACTTCCTCCTGGAGCCGTGGCAGGACAGTCTGTGGCGATAGAAGGAGGAGTTTGCCGGCTGGAGAGTCCAGAAAGCTAAACAGCTGATTCCTCACTTCATTGCAAAGAATGTGAATGACTTTTTGTACAATAAGTTTTTTGTGTTTTAACAGATGTTGGAAATTCTACTCTTGTTTTATATCCTGTCTTGCAACCATGTGCACCATAACTTGAGACAAGTGCTGCTGTAGTTTATGTTCTCACTCTGTGAATGGGGGTGTCTGCATGTTCATTTTTTCCCTAACAAAATAGGAACTCTTCCCAGTTGTGTGAAGATTATGTGTGGTTAATGATTGCGTTTTCATTGTTTTATGTTTGAAAAATAACTGAAAGTTCAAAAAAAAAAAAAATTTTAAAGATATGGTCACAATTGTCATTCATGTTCTAAATTTACAAGTAACAGGCCTTTGAAGTGGCTATATACTTATGCAAAAATTATTATGGTTTCTAAGTTTCTCAGTGGTTTAAGGAAATCCAGTGGTCGTTTAAACATGGGTTGGTTTTTTCCTCCCCAATAAGGAGGAATTTTTTTGTCAAAGAATGGTTTCAGTGAAACAAACTAGAGCAAAATTAAGGCTAGAATTGTTTTTAAATAGTCTTATAAGTCATATCTCTGTTCCCAAACTAAGATGTTAATAGCTTCAAGCTCTATGTATTACAAAAAGCTATATGAAGATAATGTATTGTAACGCAGTCTTTATGTATAATGGAATATTACAATGTAAATAAGAAAACAAAGTTTATGGAAAGATTCGATATTATTCTTCGCTTCTGTTTTAAATCTATTTTTGAGAGGTACAGAAATTGAACATATTACTGGATGCGAAGTGCAATGTGTATTAAATGGATGTTGGGAGGTCTGATGCTAGCTTTCGTATTGACAAAGCAACTTCCTGAAGTCCAGCCACAGCATGGCTATTTATATAACTGTGTTTAATATGTATTACCGTGCATAAATTTACTGTAATTCTTTTTATACCTTCAACAAAACTGCATTCTAAAACAGTGTAATCCTTGTCTGCCTTGTGAAGCATTGGCAGCTGAACTGTCGTTTGTCACCAGTTCTAATATGTTAGCCAGATCACCTGAGTCCTAAAAATGAGTTCTGACATACAATCTTCAGTACTTTTTTCTTCACAGCACTGGCAGCAATAGAAGACTTTTGTAATTAATTCATTGTCCTGATAAGTATGCCAAAGAGAAACTAAAATAGTTCATCTTTTTCCCTGGTGGATATTTGATAATTTTGTTTTCAGAAATAGTGGATGAATAGATATTCGGACTGTATTCGCTTAAGCGGGCATTGTACTTGCCTGTTTTGTAATGTTGTGCCTGCCTATAACAGACATACTTGACTGATTAAATGGTTACATTGATTGTAGTACCAATCTTTCATGGATAAAAATCTTAATAAATTTTTTTAATAGCCTGAGTTAATTTTCACTCTTATGTTACAATGTACATTAAGATACTGTCATCTTTGTGTGTTTTTTTAATTGTGACACCAGTGTTGTCCTATAGTTGAATATATTTCTGTACAGTTCTGTAAATAATAAGAAACAGAGGCTTTCTGGGTTGCAGAAATAAAAAGTGGACTGCATCTCTTTGAAATAGTTTGTGCTGAGATATCAGACTGGATCCTCAGTTGGTATACTCATGGTCTGATGAAATTAAGAACTGTACTGCTTTATGCTAGCTGAGGCAGTATGGACTACGACGCTTCAGAAACGTTCCAGCAAAGTTGTTGTGTTGTCAGAGCCCTTAAAACTGCTCTAACATGCAGCACTAAGTGATTGTGTGGGAGCTTCGCTATGTAGTGAGCGAAAAATTGAAGATCATCGGTATGAGTTTGTAAGTACCCACATTTGAAAACAGCGCTGGTTTTGGAGAAGTGAAAGTAACAGTGTTAGCCTGCTGTCATTCTAAAAGTGTTTTTCAGTGTTGACTTCATAGAAACTTTTGGCATAAATTCACTCTTTCATGGAATAAGCATGGCAGAATGGCTTGTAAAATGTGTAAATTGATAAATTGTTTCTTCCCTTTACTTGCTTAATATCTCTTTATGGAGATTTGGATTCCAGCATATAATTTTTCCCCACACTATATCTCAAAATTTTATTTGTATGTATACACACACATATATAAAAATCATAATTGAACAGCAGATAACATGTTTTGCTTTTACTTTGCTTTTGTGTCTAATACTCCAAAATGTTTTTTGCCAAAAGCCAGGCTTCTTCAGGAAGCTACTTGGGAATCATTGTTTGAACTCGGGCAGTGTTCCTCTTCATCGTCCGAACTTTCTTCCTTCTGTTTAGGTAGAGGGAAAAAAAGGATTCTATTGAGAATCACAAGCAAGATGCAGAGCACAAACCAGGGACAGAGCTGACGACCTACCTAAGGTACTCATGAGAAAAGCTGTATTAGCACATACGAATTTCTGTGTCGGTAATCGTGAAGACTGGCTGGAGCAGAACTTCCTATCATTCTATTCCCAGTTAAGCCAATGGAAGATCTTACACTAATTTAATTGTGGGTCTAAGTCTGCTACCAGTTCTATTTTTGGACTTAAAAGGGGCTTATAAAAAAAAAAAAAAAACGGCGAGGACGGACACAATTTGCAATGACGTGGTCTGTAAAGTCTTGTACGCGATGAGTAACCGTTGCCACTGGCATAAGCAGATACAGTCCAGGAGGAAATTATACATTTGACAGCAATAGCTGGCTGAAATTATAAAGGAAGAGCAACCAGATGAAATGCATATAAATACAAACAATTTGAATACTATTGATTTTATACTCAAACACACAATTATGTGTTGCAGAGTATTTTGTAGCAGACAGGTTGGTGCCAGAGTAGTCAGTCTTCTGCCATAATAAATTTTACTGCTAAAAGTGTGTAATAGCCTAAACTGAAACTAACATATAGCCCATCTTCCGTCTTCCTTTGCTCCTGTACCTTAGTCTTTGCTTCCGTACCTTAAACAGCGTGGCTCTGCAATGGCTTGACTTCAGAGGGCTGCAGCTGAGCAAGTCACGTAGGAGAGGCCTGCTACACCAAAAAAAAGTTTAGAGGTGATTTGAATTCCGTTTTGTGTATGTTGTAGGTACACAGAGCATGCTTCTCTGCTGGTGAATTCAAGCTGTGCAAACGCTGTGAAATAGAAGCGATTTGACTGAGGAGGAAGAGGGGGCCTGATTTAGGGAGACTGCAACTGTTTGTCTGTAAAGGACAGTATAGAAGATGCTGTGAAAGAAGAATGAAGCCTAAGGGGAAGCAAAGCTGGTAATAAATCCAGGGGTATTAGCAAGACTGTGGTAACTGCTGTCGTTACCCAAAATGTACGTTAAGAGCAGAATCTAGAAAAAGACGCCAAAACTATTGTTTATTGTGGTATTACAGGTGAAACATTTCACAGTGGCATGTGGTAATGGTGCAACTGGAACGTCTTTATAGCTCAGTTTTGAGCAGAATGATGCAGAATTAGGTGGGAAGTTGTAGAGTATATATCTACACATTTTAAAAATGGAAACTTGGAATTCCACCATAATTTGTGTTTCTTCTGGTCATTACACAGATAATTTACTTTGAATCAATCAGATATACTTAGAGTTCTAGTCACTCAGTGGTAGCAGGATTAATTTGTTCAAAGTCAGATCATATGGAAAGTTTCTATGGTGTTAGGTTTGCAAATAACTGGATGCCATCTGCAGTCTACATGCAGCCCTGTTTCAAAGCATCTCCTGAATCCCAAAAGGTTTGCCACTCTCAGCAGTATTTGGACCTATGTAATTCTAGGTGACTGCAATCCCGTCCTCTAATTCGGTGGAGAGATCCCTTTCAGGTTAAAATATGACTTAGGAAAGAATCTAGTTTTCAGGTCAGCTTGATTGGCAGGAGAAGGCTTAGAAGAGAACTGGAGAGTTGAAGGGAAAGTTTATTATGTGGCTAGGTGTCCTGGTTCTGGCAAGGATAGAGTTAATTTCACAAGGAGCCAGGACAGGTGATGAGGAAATAAAGGCTCTTTTTAGAAAGCAGTGTATATAAAGGAACTTCTGTAATGGGGGAGAACAGGAATCGGTGTAAAGTGGGTAGGGGGAAAACAAAATTATTTTTAAGGAAAGAAGAACAAGAATAAGAGGAAGTAATTGTGAGAACTTCAAAGGAACCTGCGTAAGAATTTATATATCCTTCGCAGTGCTAGTAATGCTCATGGTCCAAGGGATATTTGAAGAGACAAAGGAGTATAAACTTACTTTATACCTGGCCAGGATTTTCACGTGAAAGACTCATTTTGATTTATGGCAAAGTGAGGACAAACACAGAATTTCCATGGCTTTTAGCATGGAGTGTCATCTGAGGGTTTTATAGATGTCTTGCACATGAGTTGAGAAAGTGCCACTGCCTCATATCAGAGTCCAGATCTGCCAAGAGATGCCGAGAATCTACAACTTGCAGGAAATTGTGTTGAGATTGTATATGGAAGCTGAGCTCACTGATAGCTTGTGGTAAAGGACTCCTGTAGTACATCTAAAGACAGCACTACTGATTAATAAAACTTACCTCTTTTAATTTTGCTCATTTTTTACAGGAAAGCTTGTTCTGCTTACAGGAGGCTGTTCTGCTCTAATAGCCCTCTGCTTGATTACTCACTCCATTACGAGATAACACAGAGGTAAGGAGGACTTGTACACTGACTGTTATTGTTTTAGATCCTATAGTGACACGGCATTTATCTCCCACATAATGTGGGCAATAAATCCCCATAAAAACCATTAGCATCACATAATGGTGATTTGAACACAATTTGAAAGACAATAAATGTCTGTCTTGTTACCCACTCCTGTCTGCCTAACGAACCAAATGAAATATGTTAGTGAACACATGAGCAACAGATAGAGCAAGACCTGCTTTCCTATGGCTTTGTGCCTTAACCACAATACCCTCAGCTGCCTTAGAAGTCTCCTGTGTGACAGTGATGCAATACACTTACTTTAGAGCTCATGTCCTACGCTCCTTCAGTAACTCTAAGTTTGCAGTTCCTTGCACGGTAATACCCTGCTCTTCCTGTGTTCTCTATCCCCGTACAGAGGTGTCAGCTACCGCAGCTCCTCTGCCTCCACCCGCTGCAAGACTTTTGGCCAGCCCTTGTGTCCCCAGTGGCCGCATATGTCTTTACACAAGAGACAGCGTATGTGAGCAGTGACTGTAAGTGGCTCCTACCTCTTGGCTGTGGGTCTCAAAGATTGCCTTTAACCATTTTAACCAGTGTGAATGTGCAAGCATGGTTTCCTTCAGATCCAGGCTACAAGAGTTTGAAGCAGCTGCTTCTCCTCGTTTCTTAAACTGCATCAGAGAGACACCAAGAGCTATGTTCACCAGTCCCTCGAGGGTGATTGCAGGGTGTAAATGTGGCAAAGCTGGCAGGCTCCAACCTGCTCATAATCTAATCATCCCGGAGACAAAATAGCTGGGAAGTTATGGTGTCAGTGCTCATCCTGGAAGATGCTGTAAGCCTGCTAAGGACTAGGAGTGTCATGTTCTTATGTGGCTAACCCCCACTAGACTCCGCACCTTCAGGTATGCATGGCTGTTCCTACGCACAGTGTGCAGGTGTATGTCAGCCAGACATCCGGGTGGACTCACAGAGGAGGAGCCTCGGCAGCTTATCTCACCGTTCCTCATGGAGCCCATCAGCTACAATATATTGTAATAGGTATTTATGCTAGGGTTGCCCAATTTATTATGTTCAGTTATATTGCTGTAAACATCCACATAGACATACAGAAAGAGACCAACTAAAGTCATCTTCCTGAAACAAAAAGCCTTTCAAAGTTGTTAAAATACAGTTTTCAGAAAGCACCATGTGAAAGTAAGTGTTGGAAGTGAGATCCTGTCCCCAGTGAGGTCACTTGGAGCTCGGCCCTCAGCTTTGGCAGAGCCAGGACATCACCCGTGGAGGTATTTCTCTTAGAGGACTCAAACATTATGAGTCCCTTAATGTCAATACTGCAGACTTTGGAAATGAGGTGGTGCAAGATGTTTTGATGACTCATGCTTATTTTTTTGGATTATCTGGGAAAATCTGGTGGGTGTGTAGGGCTTGCAAAGCCAAGTGGAAGAATCAAACTGCAGACTCCTCTGGGCAAATAATCTGATGCAGCTGGGCGATGACTGCTCCAAAAGGAGCTCTCCACTAGCCAAGGGCTCTCAGTGTATCTTTTAGAATTTAAATAGTTTTCCTAAAGGTGATCATTTCTACAGCCCTAGTTTCTCTTCAGGTGCATATGTTTGAATGGTATAGACTACATACCATCACAGCACAAATGTGAGCAAGGATTTTGGTTTGCTGTGATACAGCTCAGAAGTGACAAAACCCCCGTGTTCAAGGTTAAGTGCCAATAAACCATGATACCGGCTTGGATTGTAACATCTTCTGTATGTACTGTACCTGCAATAGAAATCCTATT